AATGTGAGATACTTTGCAGATCATGCGGGTTCATTCCATCAGTAGGTAATGCCAAGCGAAGGTTTCTCGCTTCTTTTTCAAAATCAGGATACTCATTATCAATTTTCATCCACTGTGGTGAATCTGCCGGATGTCGATACTTTCCATCTATAATTCTATCATCTGCATGCCAAGTCAAGTGTTTTGCATCTGTTTTACTACAAAATATGCGTCTAAATCTCGGAATTATAGGAAAATACCATAACACTTTTGCTAGGGATAACTTTTTCTTATACCGAGATACACCGCATTTAGGACACTCGTTTAATGATGCATATTCATTTCAAAACAAAATGCAATCATTTGGACAAGCATGTATCTTATCATAGCTCATACCAATAGAGCACAACATTTTTTTTTGGCTTCATAGGTTCGATTGGGAAGAACATTATCCTCCGGAAGTATCTCTTTCATGAGGGCTAATAACTCTGTGAAACTTTTATCCGACCATCCATTGTCTGCCTTTAAGTTATACAACTTTAATACCGCAGACAATCTTATGAAAGTAGTGCAACCTTTATACAATGGTTTCTCTGCATTGCTTACCAACCTCTCAAACATTTTGGGACAATCCTGAAGATTTTCTTCAAGTGCTTCTGCAATCTCTTCGACTCGATCATAGTCGTATGTATCTGTGCCATTGTCGTTTGAATCATAGGTCGTATTATCCCCCGGTTCAACATTATCGTTACTTATCTCACCATGTAATGTCCAACATGTATAACTTCGATCAATTTCATGTCTCTTTAATTGCGATTCCAACTGAACTGCGTCAATCCGATGCCCATAACATCAACCTAAGCAAGGACATGTGGTCCAACTGGGGTCTTTAGCGTGTTGAATAACAAACTTAACGAATTTTGATACCCCATTCTCGTACTTTTTTGACAATCGATTGGAAGACATCCATTTTTTATCCATACTAATTAAGTAGGCTAAACTAAACTAAGTAAGTTAAACAACAACAGTGATTACCTGTAGCAACTGTAAAGAAGTAAGCAACTTCTAGAACTACACAGTAAGATTCTCGGAAACGATCACAATCTTACTCTTCACAAGTAACCCCTATAACAAATTCACTAAGTTAGTAGCTGATGGTGTACCTAATATAACAACTTCATCACTTAAGTTAAAACAATTATTCAACAACATCATAATATTCAACAGTTAATTCACGAATATCCAAACATCATCAATTAATTCACGAATATCCAAACATCAACAATTAATTCCATCAATAACATTAACAATACTCAACAATTAATTCAAGTTTCCATCAACAACAACATTAACATATATACAAAATTAACATACAAAATTAATTCATGTTTTCACCAACAACATCAACATCAACATTAACAACATCAACAACAACATTCTCGTTACTTAGTTCAAGTTTCCATCAACAACAACAACATTAACCTATATACAAAATTCACATACAAAATTAATTCATGTTTTCATCAACAACATCAAGATCAAGATCAACATTAACAACATCAACATTAACAACAACATTCTCGTTACTTAATTCAAGTTTCCATCAACAACAACAACATTAACCTATATACAGAATTCACATACAAAATTAATACATGTTTTCATTAACATCAACAACATCACAATATTCAATAATTAATTCGTGAATATTCAAACATCATCAATTAATTCAATCAACAACATCAACAATATTCAACAATTAATTCAAATTTCCATCAACAACAATATTAACATATATACAAAATTAACATACAAAATTAGTTCATGTTTTCATCAACAACAAAAACATCAACATCAACATCAACAACATCAACATTTAACAACATAAACAACAACATTCTCGTTACTTAATTCAACTTTCCATCAACAACAACAACATTAAAATATATACAAAATTAACATACAAAATTATTTCATGTTTTCATTAACATCAACAACATCACAATATTCAACATTAACATCAACAACAATCAACATTAACATCAACATTTAACAACAACATATATCAACATTAACATTAACATTAACATCAACAACAATCAACATTAACATCAAAATTTAACAACAACATATATCAACATTAACATTAACATATTAACATCAACATTAACATCAACATAACATCAACATATAATATTTAACATCAACATTAAAATCAACAACATCAACATTATCTTCACTATTTCCACAATAAAAAACTCAACAAAGCATAACCATGAAAATGAAGAAAATGCATAAATACCTTGAAAATGGTGGAAGTGGTCGGACAGACGGAGGGATACGACGGTCAGATAGATAGAGGGAGTACGACAGAGGGAGACGACGGTCGAACAGACAGACGGAGTATGGCGGTCGGAGACGGGCAGAGGGGGTAGGGTCTGAAATGAGAGGGAAAGAATACACGAGAGAGAGAGAAAGAAAGAATATTGTGTAGTCTGAAATGAAAATATTATTTTATTTTTAAAAAACTAAGCACATATAGCATCGCTTTTGTAAACCCCCTATAACAGCGCTTTCTCCTTAAAAGCGCTTTCGTAACCCCCACCTTTAGCAGCGGTTTAGGAAAGCGCTCTCTAAAGTCTGTCTAAGGCAGGACCTATAGCAGTGCTTTTATAAAGCACTTTCGTATCCTCCCTATAGCAGCGCTTTCGTATCCCTCCTATAACAACGTTTTTAGAAAGCGCTTTCGTATCCCCCCAATTAGCAGCGCTTTCTATTGTATTGCAAAACAACAACCTTTAGTAGCGCTTTTAAGAAAACGCTTTCTAAAGCCAATGCTTTTTTCCTTTTTTTTTAAATCTTTAGCAGCACTTTTATAGAAAGCATTGTCTTTGCTGTGATACCAAAAATCATTTTTGGCATAGTGATCACACATTTTATAATACTTAAAATTTATTTATTTTAAATTGCATAAAATTAGATTGAATATTTTAATCAATCTTTTAAAAATTAATTGAATCGCAAATAAAGTTATCTTTAGATCGTCTCAAAATTCATTCAAACCGCATTGTGAACACCTTATTACTTATGGTTTACGTCAAATAAGCACCGTTAATCCAACTAAAACCTTTATATAATTATCCAATCAATTTTTATTTAAATCATTTTTTGATAGGTCTTCAAGTCAAATTTTGCTCCTGAATATTATTTATTGTGAATAAATGTAAAAGATATTAATTACTATGTATTGATAATATAAAAAATTGTACCCTGTCAATTGATCAACATCATCCATTTTGCATTGCTTTGCCTTACTTTACAGATTATTAAAACAAGTCAAACTACTTCTTACATCTAACGGTTATAATTAACTATCAATGTATTTCAATTAAATCCTAGGTAGAATTGTGTTATCCATCGACCCAGTCCATAGTAATCCTTTCAATTTAATTTTTAATTCTTATTTTAAAATTTAAAAAATATTCTATAAATCACAATTAAATATGTAAAGGTCCCTTATAAAATTAAATGATTTATTATTAAATTGTTATGATGAAATATAGTACATTATTTTCTTTTCCTTGACATATTTATTTATTTTTTATAGAAAAATATATTGTCAAATTTTATTTTATAATGACATTTTATATTGTTATTTTGAAAGGGTACCTATATTAAAAGGTTAATAAAATTATTATATTTAATTTTAATTAAGTTATTATAGTTAAATAGATAATAAATTAATAAATTGAATTAGATGAACATTCCAATATTTTTAAATTTAATTAAATACTATACTTTCAATTAGAGGTATATACGGGTTAGGTTGGACCGAGTTCGGCCTAACTCGTTTAAGTTTTAATGAGTTGGGTATGTCATTCAATATGCAATTTTATTGTTAAAATTTATCCGAATCGACCCATTTTTTTATGGATTGAGTTAGGTTGGATTTGTAAACTGTATTTTAAATAAAAAATATTTTTCAATGATTTTTTCAGATAAAAAAAAGTTACTACAATTCAATACAATTACACTCAATTCTAACATTCAAATTGAATGAAGCACGCCATATAATATTTAACAAAATTTATCAACTCAACATAACATTTAATAATAATATAAATTTCCACTAAACACAATATTTCCATAAAATATGTAAATTGGAAACGACACAAAAGAAAATAAGAAACAACGTTTAGTCTTAGAATTACGTAAACTAATTGGCCTAATAGTATTATTGATGGAGAATAATTTTTTTAGCAAAATTATGATTAATAGTGAAATATTAATTTTATATTTTTATCTAAAATAATTTTAAAAATAAAAAATTATTAATGTCACATCAATAAATTAGATAAATAAATAACAAATTAATAAATTAACTTAGATGAACATTATGACATTTTTAAATTTTATTAAATACCGAAACTCTCGATCAATCAAATATTATAATTCAATAATCACATTATTTTTTTATTTTATTTTAAAATAAATTAAGCTAAAAATATTGATATCCAACTTAAATTCACACGTACTTAAAAGTTTACCATTAAATTATTGTATTTAATTTTTTGAACAAAATGATTTGTGCTAGTGTAATCTAACGAAGTATTAATTAAAATTGACATACATTTTAAACCAAAAATGAAACAAATATAGAGAAGATTATGAAAACAATGTAATACCTGTGGACCCTTGTCCCATAGTTTCACGCCACAATATGCTGTCATACAGAACGGCAAAAACCTCGTAAAAAAGAATCTCCAACGGCTCTCCTCATCGGTGGATCCAGTTATATGACCGTTTCTGGGTCCCACTTTTTCCTTTCAAACAACATATAAACCTTCACAAACCACACCACATTTCATAACACACAACACACCGCAAACAACATTAATCCTTAAAGGTCTGTCTCTCATAAATTTTTTTCTATTGTTTTGTTTTCACTTTTAAATTTCTGGGTTTGTTGCAAGTTTTGTTTTTTTTGGTCTTATTTTGTTGTTTTTGTTGTGTAGAAAAACATGACTGCTGAAACTATGGCTCAAGAAGAAACCACCCAGAAAGTTGAGGTTGCTGTTGAAGAAGGTAAAGTTGTTGATGTTGAAGCAAAGGAAACATTGGATGAATCAAAACCCGCAAAGACAGTTGAGAAATGTTCTTCTTATAAAGAAGAAAGCAACTTTCTTTCTGATCTTAAAGAGTTTGAGAAAAAGGCTTTGATTGAGTTCAAGTCTAAGGTTGAGGAAGCGATTTTAGGGAACTCTCTTTTTGAGAAAAAGGAAGAGGAGGAAAAAAAGGTTGAAGCTTTACCGGAAGGTGGTGAAGAGGGTGAGAAAGTTGTGAAGGAAGAAGAGAATGTTGAGGGGGAGAACAAGAAAGGGGTTGAAGAGGAGGAGGAGAAAGATTTGTCTTTGTGGGGTGTGTCACTTTTGCCAAGCAAAGGAGATGAAGGAATTGATGTGGTTTTGTTGAAGTTTTTGAGGGCTAGAGATTTTAAGGTGAGTGAGGCTTTTGAGATGTTGAAGAAGACACTTAAATGGAGGAAGGAGATGAAAATTGATTCTATTTTGGATGAAGATTTTGGTTCTGATTTGGTTTCTGCTGCTTACATGAATGGTGTTGATCGTGAAGGGCACTCTGTGTGTTACAACATCTATGGTGTTTTTGCAGGTGAAGAGATTTATCAGAAGAGTTTTGGGAGTGAAGAGAAGAGAAGAGAGTTTTTGAGATGGAGGTGTTATGTTACTGAGAAATGGATTCAGAAGCTGGATTTGAAACCAGGTGGTGTTTCTTCTTTGCTTCAAATCAATGACCTTAAGAATTGTCCTGGCCCTTCAAAGAAAGAGATAAGAATTGCTACAAATCAAATTGTTTCAATTTTGCAGGACAATTACCCCGAAATGGTGGCCAAAAATGTAAGTTTTTCTCCACATCATTGCTTAATTTCCCTTTTTTCTAGGCATTGTCTATGCTTATAATGACCTCACCGGTGTCAATGTCTCTGTGTCTGATGTCTGTGTTTATGTCAATGTTTTGGTGTCTGATGTCCGAACCTATGTCAATGTATGGTGTCTGATTTCTGTGTTTGGTGTCTCTATGTATCTATGTCAATGTTTGGTGTCTCAGATTCGTATCTATGTCATTATCGTGTTCGTGTTGTGTCGGTATACTTAGTATAGTCATCTGATATATGTTCTCAAAGCTATTGGTTAAGGTGCTTATGTTATTGTGTTTGCTTCATTGTAGATTTTCATCAATGTTCCATTCTGGTATTATGCACTCAATGCACTTTTATCTCCATTCTTAACTCAAAGAACAAAGAGCAAATTCGTGGTGGCACGTCCTGGGAAGGTCACCGAAACATTGATCAAGTAAGTCTTCAAAATCCATTAATCATAACTTCAATGGCTATACTTCAACCTCAACACATTAATAACCTTATTTACTTTCTGTATCACAAATAGGTACATTTCAATTGAGGAGATCCCCGTTAACTACGGCGGTTTCAAGAGGGAAAACGATTCCGAATTCTTCGGCCAAGACGCAACTGTTTCTGAACTAACTCTCAAGGCTGGATCCACCGCAACCATAGAGATACCTGCATTGGAGGCTGGAAACACTTTGTGCTGGGACATAGCTGTTTTGGGTTGGGAGGTAAGTTACAAAGAGGAATTTGTTCCCAATGATGAAGGATCTTACACTGTCATTGTTTCGAAAGTGAAGAAGATAGGTTCACAAGAGGGAGCTATTAGGAACACATTCAAGAACAATGAAGCAGGAAAGGTTATTCTCACAGTTAACAACTCGTCGAACAAGAAGAAAAGGGTTATGTACCGTTACCAGATCAACAAGAACTCGCCATGAGAATTCAATTATTAAGTTCTTTTAGGTTTTGTCCATTGTTTATTTGGCTTTATTTAGGTTTTGAACGTAGGTGGTGGAATGTGTGAAGAATTTTGGAAACGGGAGGAAAAGAAGGGATTCTTTGATTTGTGATATTACATATTTTTTGAACTTGTTAAAATTGATTTAGAATTCATTCATTTTCTGTGTCTATTATGTATCTATCTCATATTTTTTGTTATCCTATTTGATTAAGAGTTAGTGCTGCCATCTTTTAAATTAATTTTAGTATTCACTTTGGGATAATAAAGTTTAAATAGAAGGTAAAAGGACAACAAACTATTAAATTAATTTTAGTATTTTAAATATTTTCTCACATGATTGAAAACTCATATAATTTATAGATGAATTTTAGTATTCCAGCTATTGTGTGTCATTTAATTGGGAATTATCTTTTGATGTTATGTGCGATGCAAGTATTAATTGTTGGTGTAGTATTTGGCCAACAACGCGTAAAATTTTTTCTCTACTGAAAAAGGTTAACTACCATTATTAAAAAAAAATTGCTAACAGTAGTATTTGCTTTGAGAAAATTTCGTCTCTATTTAATAGATTCAAAGGCAATACGAATCATACTATTCAATAAAAGTGACTCAAAACCAAGATTGCTACGACGAGTGCTCTTGTTGTAAGAATTTGATCTGAAAATTAAAGAATAGAAAGGGGTAGAAAATATTGTTGCAAGATCACCTCTTCAAGTTAGAGAACGTTGAAGTGACCAAAAATAAATAAAGTATCATAGAGACATTTCCTAACGAGCAGCTAATGACAATTAATGAAAGACCTCTTGGTTTGTGGATATAACAAATTATAAGGCGACAAATGTACCATAAGAATACACTTGACAGCAAAGGAAACACTTCTATAAAGAAACAAATTTTCATTTGTAGGATCATCCATACTTGTTTAAAAGAAATTCTGATGGTTTACTTCACAAGTGTGTGTTGCAGCACAAAAACTACCCGACCGAGCGCATCACACACTCGAAAATACAACAAAGTCATCACTGAATTTTATTTATTCTAAAAGAAAGGGAAAATATCAATAAAACCCAAAGGAAATAGAAAATGGTGCACAAATCGGTTATGCAAGGAGAAGATATTAACATCTCTCACATCCGTTGTATTCAACGGAAAACGTTTTAATTGTTCTTTGTGCGAAAGAGTGTTATCATCTAAAGGTTACTTGCGATTGATTTTAACTAAGAGAAAAAATAACATTTTAATTAATGTGTTCGCCAAGATTTCGAAATCTTGTGCCTATGTATTCCTATAGTGTAAGAGAAAACCAAAGCTTAGTAGTTCATGGAGTAGAAAATATTAGAATATTAATAGTAATTCATATTTATTTAGTTGTACTATTTTTCTTAACCCCCTAAGTTTGTTAGAGGGTATTTTAGTATTTTATTGTTTTAGTAACCCTAGTTTTAGTTTATAAATAGGGTGACAATCATTATAACTTTTATCATGTTTTTCTGCCGTCATTCTTAATAGAATATTTCTACCTTTCATCATTTATTCTACCTTTGCACCAACAATTGGTATCTAGAGCTCCGGTTCGGATTCATTGGGAAACACGGGAAACACGAGTGAACGTGAGGTCTTGTGTGTTTGATTTTGATTCTTAGATTCGTGTTGAATCTTGAACAAAATCTGATCAGAATTTTAATTCTGTGGGTTGGGAAACACTGTGTGAGAAACATTGAGTGTATTATGCAAGGTGAAGATGAACGGAAACGGCAACATGAACACCAAGCTTCCAGTATTTGACGGTAAAAACTGGAATCGTTGGATGATCCAAATGCGTGTACTGTTTGGTGCTCAAGATGTTTTAGATCTTGTCACTGATGGTTATGTTCCGGTAGCAGCAGATGCAACAGATGAACAGAAAAACGCGCAGAAGGAAGTAAGGAAGAAGGATCAGAAAGCATTATTCTTTATTCATCAATGTGTTGATGTAAATGTGTTTGAGAAGATTGCAGATTCAACGACAGGAAAGGCTGCGTGGGACACACTGGTTAGATGTTATGGTGGTGACACATCAGTGAAGAAGGTGAAGCTTCAGTCCTTGAGAAAGCAATATGAGAATCTCAACATGAAGAATAATGAGAAAGTTTCTGAATACATCTCTAGAGTGATTCTGATCACTAATGAGATGAAGACGTGTGGAGAAACTCTTTCTGAAGAAACAATCATGGAGAAGGTATTGAGATCCCTTACCTCTCAATTTGATTACATTGTGGTAGCAATAGAACATTCCAAAGATATGAGTACCATGAGAATTGAAGAGCTGCAGAGCAGTTTAGAAGCGCAAGAGTTGCGTTTGACTGAAAGAACTTCTGAAAGGGAAGTAGAGCAGCAGGCTCTGAAAGCAACTTCTGATAGGAGGTATCAGAAGCAGTCAGAAGCCAGGAGAAGATCTGATGGTGGTCAGAAGTCAGAAAGCTCAACCTCTGATAGACAAAAGAATGCTCAGAAGGGAAAAGAGAAGTATGACAAGAAGAAGATCCAATGTTACTGTTGTAAGAAGTTTGGTCACTTTGCTAGAGATTGTTGGTCAAACAAGGAGAGAAAATCAGAAGAAGCAAATATAGCCAGAAGTTCTGATGACGAATCTGTGCTATTGATGGCCTCTGAATCTGATGATCTGACAGACTGGTGGTATATGGACACTGGTTGTTCAAATCATCTTACTGGAAACAAGAAATGGCTGGTTGACTTTGACTCTGAAAAGAGAACAAAGATCAGATGTGCTGATGTCAAATATCTTAATGCAGAAGGTATGGGAAATGTCAGAGTGACTCTGAACAATGGGAAAACAGCATTGATTCAGAACGTGTGGTATGTACCTGGCATCAGAAGCAATCTGATGAGTGTGGGACAATTAATTGAGAAAGGTTTTTCAGTTACCATGAAGGACAATCTTCTGAAGCTGTATGACTACAATCAGAAGTTGATTATGGAGTCAGAACAGGGAAGGAATAGAACATTCAAGGTGAATGTCAGAACTGCAGACTCAGAATGTCTTAGTGCAACATGTGTTGAGAAGGAGAGTGAGCTGTGGCACAGAAGATTTGGTCATTTGAATTTCAGAAGCTTAAAACATCTGAATTCAAAGAAGCTGGTACATGGAATTCCTGCAATTAAGAAGCCTGAGAAGTCATGCAAAGTTTGCATGGAAGGAAAACAACCACGTTTGCCATTTGCGTCAGAAGTTGCTCCAAGAGCAAAACATGCCTTGGGAGTTGTACATTCTGATGTGTGTGGTCCATTTCCAATAGCATCAATTGGAGGGAATAAATACTTTGTGTTGTTTGTTGATGAATTCACAAGAATGACATGGGTATCCCTTATTAAATTTAAACATGAGGTGTTTGATGAATTCAAGAAGTTCAGAATGAAGGCTGAGAATCAGAGTGGTCAGAAGTTGAAGATTCTTAGAACTGATGGTGGAGGTGAGTATAACTCCAAAGAGTTCCAGATGTTCTGTGAGGAGAATGGAATTGAGCATGAGGTTACTGCTCCTTATACCCCTCAACACAATGGTCTTGCTGAAAGAAGAAACCGTACTTTGCTTGATATGGTGAGAAGCATGCTAAAGGAGAAGAAGCTTCCTCAGAAGCTCTGGGGAGAAGCTGTTGCCACTGCAACATATGTACTCAATAGATGTCCTACGAAGAAGTTGAAGGAAATAGTTCCTATGCAGAAGTGGACTGGAGACAAGCAAAGTGTTAGTCATCTGAAGGTGTTTGATTCTGTTTGCTATAAACATGTTCCAGAAGCCAGAAGACAGAAGCTGGATGATAGAAGCAAAGTGATGATTCTGATAGGGTACCACAGTACAGGTGCATACAAGCTCTATTGTCCAGAAACCAACAAAATTGAATTCAGCAGAGATGTGATTGTGAAGGAATCAGAAGTTTGGAATTGGGATAAGTCTCAATCTGATTCTGATGTTAGAACTTCTGAAGAAAGGCCAGAGTTAAGAATTTCTGAAGTTGAAGTAAACTCTGACGTTGATTCTGACTCTGATAGTGATTCTGACTCTGGAGAAGACTCAGAAGATGAAGGTGACTCTGATGATCCAGACTCTGATGGTAATCCAGATTTTGGTAGAAATTCAGACTCTGAAGATGGCCAAGACTCTGAAAATATGCCAGATCTTGAAGATGGTCAAAGCTCTAGAGGAAGTTAACCATCTGAAGCTGGAAACTCTGAAGCTCAAGACTCTGAACAAGTTCAGAGACCACAAAGAATCAGAAGCGTTCCCAGAAGATTTGCAGAATTTGACATGCTGCAAGACACTGAAGTAGACTCTGAAGGAGAAGTTATTCAGTGTGCCATGTTAGTAGACTCTGAACCTATAAGTATAGAGGAGGCTCTTAAGCAGAAGCTCTGGCTGAAGGCCATGAAAGAAGAACTTGATGCTATAGAGAGAAACAAGACTTGGAAGCTGACAGAACTTCCAAAAGACAAGAAAGCCATCAACGTCAGATGGGTTTTCAAGCAGAAGTTAAAGCCAGATGGCTCAATTAGCAAACATAAAGCAAGGTTGGTAGCCAGAGGATTTCTACAAAAACCTGGGCTGGATTACTCTGAAGTGTTTGCACCTGTAGCAAGACATGAAACAATCAGAATGGTGATTGCAATAGCTGCTAACAGGAATTGGCCTCTGATGCATTTAGATGTAAAATCTGCATTTCTGAACGGTCCATTAGAAGAAGAATTTTACGTGTCACAACCTCCTGGATTTGTGAAAAAGAATCAGGAAGGGATGGTGTACAGATTATACAAAGCTCTATATGGATTGAAACAAGCGCCCAGAGCTTGGAATCAGAAGATTGATTCATTTTTCAAGAAGCAAGGTTTTCAGAAATGTGAGATGGAGTACGGTGTCTATGTTCAGCATACTTCTGAAGGCAATATGACTCTGGTATGTTTATATGTTGATGATATACTATT